AACACTATTGTGTCAGGATTAACATTAGGCTGTTTGACTGTGGGTAAGAAGAGCATTTAAATACAGTGAATTTGTTTTCTGACTCCTGAAAAATGCATAGTTCTGTACTTTAACTTGGGAGCCTTTTGGTTTTGTATACTAGAAAATGCTGTCACTTTTTCCATTATAAACATTAAATTCTATAAACACCTTAAGGGTTAAGATCAAAACCAAATAGGGTTACTAAATTATTTGAGATTGCCTTAAGCATGCTGTAGTTCACTAATGATCATAGTAGCTATCCTAGTAGCTAATAGCCTAGTAGCTAGGCAAACTTTCCTTCACTGTTTTAAGCTTATGTGGCATTTTTTTTAGTAATACTTTGCCATAAAAAAAGATAATTTCTCCCCTCCCTTCCCCTAGCCCCACAAATCAGTGGAGAATAATAAGGGTAAGGGATGAAGAAAACGTATGAAAGTTCATTGTAGGATCTTAAACAGCTATTTCCTGCAAAAGAAAGGAAGAGGTATGGCATTTTTAAGTGTAACTCATATGCTACAATTCTGTGGAGCACATGTTTGTAAATTCTTATATGACTATTGAATTTGTGTTAATGCACAGGTTCTACATCCCCTACATAAAATGTAGCCACAAAGTCATGCAGGCAGATGCCAGTATGTGATTTGAGGATAGGAGATTCTGCCATGCAACCATATATACTGTCTTTTGGCTTTTGGTAGAGTTGCTGCAGTGCTGCTTAACACTTTCCACACAAGCAGGGAATTACACTTTTAAGAAGTAAAGATTGTGGCTATGGAACATCATCACGTTAAGAACTAGTTAGGCATGATGGGTGGAGAAACAAGTTGTACTGTTAAACAAAAGGAGACCATGGAAAGGAGCTTTCTCTCAATCATGGGCAAGCCTTGTACCAACAATTCCCAACGATGTCTGAAAAGATTATTAGGTTCAAGTTAAATCATAATGAAAAGGCTGCTTTCAACTTGCAACATGGACTTTGATTATTTTAAGTCTCATTAATACTGTTAGCTAGGGAAGAGGCAGAACTTCCTTCAAGTTTTTCCTGAAGTTATTTATATTGGATTAATCTCTTGAAATCAGTGTCTAATGTATGCATGTGATTTGGTTTTAGGATGATTCCTCTCCAGAGTTTATTTTTGAATGGAAGGATGCTCTTTTCCAGTAGAAGATGGTGATCCTAATGTATGATCATGGAGAAGGGGATAAGTTCAGTAGAAGTGTTACCTTCCAAATCGTCTCAGGTTACAGCTGTAAAAGTGGTGGTCAAAGAGCCCGAAACAAAGCAAACCCAAAGAGGGAAACGAGTGGGATTTGTGCTTGTCCATGCAGGTAAGATGCAAAAGCATAACAGCTGGAACAGAAGTACTGCACGTACAAACTAAAAATCAACTACAATTCGGTATTGGCTTTGAATTAGTAGCATGTTAATGAAGTGACATTAACTTTGGGTGTAAATCTGGGAGTGGAGAGTTTGATTGGAAGCTGCACTGGCTGAAGGATCTTGGAAATTGTTAATAAAAATGTAGGGGTTTGGGTGTTCCGAATGGTATTTTTTTCTCCCTGACAAAGAAAACCCCAAACAAAATCCCTAAATTAAATGGTTATAAAATGTCAAATTCTGCAGCTGTATGCTAAGGTTGGAAAATCTACAAAATGTGAGAGAACTTTCAGTCTATTTCCTTACAGAAAGATTAAACATCACTGTTTCATTATGGACAGTTTCTTGTATAGCTTGTCTGTAAGGACAGTCTAGTGAAGACTTTTTGAAACCTCCTTAGGCCGATCGTTGCAGAACTTCACTTTTTTTTTTACCCTTTTGAAAGTTTTCCTCCGAGTCTATTTTTTTAAATATTGTTCGCATTTAAATACTATTTATGTTTTCCACATGTAATGAAGAGGTCGAATACTCAAATGTGATACAGAAATTATGCGTTATGTGTGTCTTGTTCATAAATTCTTTTCTAATAGATTCTTTCTTAAATACTGTTAATCTTGAAAATATTAGTGATGCTTATGTCTGGCTGTATGTTTGTTTTTAGCATATGTGTGATGACTTGAGGTGAAATTGAGCAAAGTAGCCTGGTGACACCTACAATATTTGAAAAACCAACTTGCTACTTGGTTTATAAAATCCTTAAGGTAAAAAAAAAAAAACAAAACACAAAACCTCAAAGAACTTATTCTGGGTTGATATTTGATGACCCTGGTATTCTATTTTAAGAGCAAATAGAATGGTTCAATATGTTGTCCTTTACTGGGTTACTTTATTCTGTTTAAAAATCTTTTTGTTTCACTAGGAGTGTTAAAACTTATTTTATTAGAGTTTCTGAAAGCTAACACTGCTAGAGGTGAGGAAAGGGAAGTTGAGGTAAATAGGAACGTATTTTTCAAGTTCAAAAACCAAGAAGACAGAAGAAGATGGAATTTAAATATCAGTGTCCTAATCCTGTCTGTTATTTTTCTGATGCTGTATTTAGCTGAATAGTGGGCAGTGATAAATTTTTCAGGTATGGAGGTGGGGGCACTGGCTACAAAACACAGCAAAATGGTTAAATGCAACAGGATGGATATAAAGACTGAAAATGAGAAAAAAGGTGAAAAAAATTGTATGATCTTTATTTCCAGGAACTCTCCTGGTTGTAAAGCAGGAGTAATGAGCTCTAGAAATGTAGCATAAACATGAGACAATTAACAGAATGGTAATTGCAAACTTGCAAATCAGTAGTAAAAGGAAAATGGAAGTTTGACTTAAAACAAAGGTTTTTGCCCAATGATGGACAATAAATAAAAAAAGCTATGCTGGAAACCCTCCAAGAATGAGCAAAACTGGAATCTCTTGGAGAACGTTTATAGGAACAGACTGTATGACTCTGAGATTTGTACCTGTACGCTTCTGCATATTTGCTCTGGATCCTGTATTTTACTGAGTGTATTTGAATTAATGTTGGAATGCGTGAAGTTGTCAATCATTGATATAAAAAGGAATTGCCAGTGTAATCTAGAATAGGGAAGGCTGTATCAGTCCGTGTATTCATTATGCAAACTACAGGCTGTAGTTTGTCAGGTAGTATAATCTCTTTTCCTTTTGCCTTAATTGTAGGTGCAGGTTATCATTCTGAATCCAAAGCTAAAGAATACAAGCATGTGTGCAAAAGAGCCTGTCAGAAGGTACGTTTTACCAGTTCCGCAGTCTTGCAGTGGGTATACAAGAAATATATTCGGTAACACTGCCCCTTCAGTATGAATGGGCACATCTGGGTTTAGCTACTCAGGCTACTCATTTCTAGAGTAAAAATGGAGCAGCAACAGTTAATGTGATACAGAGTCAATAGAGTGCATGGCCATGGGGTGTGGCAACACTCTCAGTGGAGCTAAGTATGGTGTCTGGATTTTTCTTTCATCAGTGTCCACTCTTTTTGGAATTTATTTAAACAATAGCATCTAAATTGCTCCATGAATTCAGGGATTTCTAGAATTCTTTTCTTCTTGATAGCTCTTAACTTCTTAATAGGAGGGGAGGTAGAAACAGGAAAAACAACAAAAAATCAATCTCCTCTTCCCAAAGCTGGAAAGGGAGAAACGGCAAGACTTTCACTTCTGTTGAAATGAATTTTTTTTTTATCTCCTCCAAGAACTTAGCTTTGGAACTGGCAAGTCCTGTCTGCTAAGTGTTGAATGAGAAGCTGGAAGACCTGTCTCCAAAATTTCTAATGCCTTTTTCTTTCTCCAGGGAGAAGGAGCTGGGGAGCTTGGCAGGCTTTTTAGAAGAGTCTCAGAGTTGGCCTCTGATATCTATCACTTCATTTTACAGTTCTGTTGCTCAATCCTAATACCAATCTAATTTTGTAATGAGAAGCCTCAAAAATCATCCAAATTTAACACTAGATTCATTAAAGTTGTGTGTTAGCCCTGATGATATTAATTTGCCAGCTAATTATGTGTGAAAAAAGGTTGTTTGCTGTTGAATTTAAGTCCAATTTGAGATTCCATTTGGTTCCTTAAGCTAGGTAGCCAACATAAGTAACTCGTATGAAGACAAGCAGTCACAGGTTTGTCTTGCAACTGAAGATCCAGCTATAGTTGCTTTCTGGGGTTCCCTGAGAGAACTTAACTGTAAGGTCCTGTCCAGTACGGATCTAAGAAATAATATTAGGCTCTAGAATTTCATTTTTGTGTGCATATATAATTTGAAGATAACATTGCCTTATTTGATTTGTTTTTGTGTGTTGGCTTTTACATGTACTTACTTGTAAACTCTGTTCAATTTCATGACAATTGCCATGTATGGTACTAGGTATTTTTGCTGAATCTTGGAAGGAAAGTTAGAAACTTCTTGACTGAAACATTGTTTGAGGACACGAGGTATAAGAATTTATTTTGCTATAAATTTGACCATGCAGGAATCTGCTGCTAAATGCAGTGTTGGAATAGTAAAATCATACCTTCAGATCTGTCCACACATGGTGCATGCTGACTGTTTCCAGTGCCTCTTGTTCTTATGTCCGTATGCATTTTAAACTAGTTTGGTAAAGGTTTTGTTTTGTACAGGACTAGGAGAATGTAGAGCTTAGTCACAGAATATTAGAATTTCCTAATCATCAATGAAAAATTCTGTTTTACAGGCAATTGAAAAGATACAGGCTGGTGCTCTTGCAACAGATGCAGTGACTGCAGCACTTATAGAATTAGAGGTATGAATTTCTGACTAGTAGTAAATATTTCTCTCGGGGACATTGCCAGATTTTTCTATAGCAAGTTATTAATTCAAATGGGAAATAAACTGAGATTTCCATTTTTGTGCTGTACTAATTTTATCTTTTGCTTTTCCACTATATTTTGGTGTAAATTCATTTAAAGACTTTCTAAAAATGCAAACTGAATAGAAGTTGTCTAGCTGGTGCAATTTGGTTGTCATCTTAGGTATGCCTTATCAGATAATTTTTAACCTTCAAGAATAAATACAGTCATTAAGGACTTAATGAACACTTTATAGGGAACTTTATTTCTGACTTACTGAGTTACAGGCAGACTGTGCTGGCTCTGCTTCTTAGATAAGGAAAAAATCATGCTACTGGTCACATGTTAACCAGAAGTTCTAGGATGAGTCCTCATTCCTTTTGTTTGCATTAATATCTCACACTGAGTTATGTTTCATTTCTTGAAATTATGATCCAAAGAATTTAAATGTAGTTAGTATTTAGTACTTCCATTAACACTCTTGTGTAGTAGTTATATTGAGGTAACTGTCTCTTGAATATGCTTTCTTGGGTTGTGTTATTCATACCTTTTGCAGTTCTTTGGGATAATTCTACAGAAGTGATTGCATAAATTTAACTCTGCTTGTCTTCCCATCCAGTTAAAGGGCTCTGTGAAAATGAAGTAGAAATTTTAAGTTCTCTTTTGTCCCGCAGCATACTTCTGCTGTGTGCTTAAATTAATGCAATTCCCAAAGGCTTTTTTTCTTACATTTTTTACTTTGTGTCTCTATGATCTCTGATAGGATAAGAGAGTAGAAGCAGGCTGTTCAGGGAAGTGTGACTTCAGTGTAAGACAACGCTTTTTTTTCTGATTTTTATGACAAAATACGTGTAGAAGAACAGCGCAAGTATTTCAAAAGGGTACTTGTTAATTAAGATAGAAAGTCTTGATAATCATTAAGAGATGACCAACTGTTAATGAGGTTTTTGGAAAAGTGTCTTTTTGGAGTGGTTACATTTATATAGCATCTGACTTTAGTGAACGATCCCTGTGAAATAATGTAGAAGAGAGTAAAGCTAAAAGAATTTCTGGGATATAAATGAGGCAGTTTGGTTATTGTCCCAGGTCCACTAATCCCTCATGGCAATAATGATTGAAATGGGTATTCCTCTTCTTCTGTAAGGAGTAATTGCTTCTTCCTCTCCAACTTTATTAGTAAAGAAGGAAGGCAAGGTAAGTGGTGTGCTGTAAAAATTATTTCCTGGGTTTGGAATTTATGGTAGTATTCCGAGAGGATTAGCAGTGTATTTGCTTACCACATATGTTGGGAAAGTGTTAATTAACATACTTGATAGGGTTAGCGTAAGGCAGGCAGTACATACTTTAATATGTGTTAGACATGCTGACTAGGAGCCAAGACTTCAGTCATAACCTTTAACTTGGCGAGCATCTTGGCTTTAAACAGTACTTTTGGTCTCCACTGAATTGTTCAAATATGCTTTCATGTGTTATCTTACACATTAGAATATAGCTGGGTGAACACAAAAGGTATCTCTCTAATGGAATTACTTATAATGCACTTCTATAAACTAACTGAGGTTGCTGTTACTCCAGAAGATTGTTCTGTGTGTCAGTTCCCTCCTCAGTGGAAAAAAAACCAACCTACTTTGTGTTATGGTTTTTGTTGTGCTCCGGAGCTACACAGAAGAAAACATATTTTAAGAAACTTAAGTTATATATCTTTTTGCAGCTGTGCCTGGGGTAAATATTTTATCTGGTTTTGTTATCCCCAAGAGACTTTTATTCTTTTACTTTAGTAGATTTAAATATTCTGAAGTGACATCTGTGTAAGAAATTCTAGCTTTAAGATGAAATTAAAACCTTTTTTATGAAATTACTCCAATCAGCAACCTTTTTCTCCTCATCTGTCTTACTACTGTTGTGATGATGCCTCCCATCATTCCACTTTCTGGTTTTCTAATTGTCTTAGGTTGTACTTTTATGTGTACTGTTGCACAAAACCTATTTTTTTCCTTTTTCCTGTTTTTAAGATTAAATATTATTTTGTTCAGGTTGTATTGCCATGATTAATGTAATTATTTGCTTTCGTTTATTCATTAAGTGATTTATATAACCTCTTAATCGTGAATTGTTCCTTCTGTTACTGTTTGGGATTTGGGCTTCTTTTAAATTGAAGTATGTAGCTGTGCAGTTACATTGAGGAAAAATTAAAGGTATACTCAAAACAGAAAATGATGTGGTTTGCAGTGGCATTTTTTTGGCTTTGGCATGAGAAATTCCAAAGTGTTAGACCGTCAGCTTTCAAAATGTTGAAAGATTTGTGTCTACTCATATCTCATTCTGAATACCACTCCAGGCATCTCTGTCATTTCTGGAGCTGCAGCTAATGTTTTAATTCGGATGTTTTTCCTATTGCTCTATGGAAAACAGAAATTGCATGTGGCAAGTCAACAAAGCAAACAGAATAGTTTTTCCCATAATTTACAAAATTTTATGGGTGAAAATGTAGGTTTGTATGTTGATTGTCTCTCTAATGAGCTATCACTACCCTTTGTGTAGGAAAAAATAGTGACTTTTCATAAAGTACTCTAACATTTTGAGTTGGCAAATACATAGCGAAAATCTGTATGAAAACAATGTTTGCTTACGTGCGTCACTAATACTGATTAAGATACAGAACAACAAAAGTTTGTGTAAAATGATAACAGATTCCATTGTGGAGCAGGCTTTGTAACATCCTGATATTTTGGTAGCTGTGGAACACATTGCTGTGAGTTTATCTGAAATATTGGATCACTTTTACAGTTCTCTAGGACTTAATGCTGTATTCCAAAAATCTGTAGTCTTTGCAAGGCCCAAATATCTTTTCATGGAAGTGTCACAAAAGATGAATTTTTCTTCCTCAGTTCCGCTCAATTACACAACTCCTATTACACAGAATTTCAGCTAATCCAAGAGGCATCACTTCAAAGACTTGTTGAGGCGCAAGACTTGCTCTTGATCTTTTATGAGCAAGCTGACAGTTTGCTTGTGGTATGCTGTCTGTTTTTTGTTTTATTTTTGCAGGCTCTAAATGGAGAAAGAACAGCCTTTCTTTGTTGAACTATATGAATCTCAAGTGAAATAGCATTCTGTGATTAAGATAATAATGCTAATAGTTAGCTGGAGAAAAGGTAGATTTCTTTTGCAAAGTAACAAGAGCAGCTGACCAGGAATACTGTTAAAGTAACTGTGCTGGTCTTCATAAGCATCAGCTGTATTTGATAAGTTGATTAAAGGCAGTTACATTTTCCAGTTTGTGAGCTCTGTCATTGCAGAGAAACAAATGAACATGTTACCTTTTTCAGCTTTTGGTAATAAAATGGGTCTGGACAAGGTGCTTCATAAGACTCATCATTTACACTGTATGCTTCTACAAAGACTTTATTGCAGTACCATTTCTTTTTGTAATCTTGTTATCGGCCACCATATGAAGTCTGAGTTTCCCTTGAAACACAAAGGGCAGCTTTTTTGGGGGGTGGGGAGGAGCTCCCTCTCCACACATCCCCCCCTTAAAACTTGTAGTTTTCAACAAACCCACATGCTGATTGCATTTATGGCTGGCTGTGAGAACAATGTGCAATTTCAATCTTTTCTTTGACTATAGAGCACTTCAGAAAGTCTTCTGTTCAGGTACTGGAGACAAGAACATAGGTTTGTTGTAAAGAATGATGGAGATTTCAAACTTTTTCTAAATTTAGTCTAAGTTTATTAATACTGTGTGTAGATCACTTGTTTCTTTAATCTGGCTTCCGTAGAATGTTCTTTGTGAACATCATTTAAATAGGAAATTAATATGATTGATGGGGAAGCGGATGTTACGTTTTGGGTTTCAATGTCCTTGCTACTGAAATTGCTCAATTTACTTTGCTTTTTTTTGTTGTTGTTGTTGCTGTGGATCAATTCAAAGGATATTTTTAACCTGTTAGTTTACTCAAGCAGTGGGTTTGCATGACTGTCAGCAAAATTTTGCAGTGAAAGAACTTGTTTCTTGTTTAATTGTTTTTTCTTTGTTTATTTATTTTATAGTAATTACGATTTTTGAGTATACAATCTTAATCCCAAGTACTTCTCTTTAAAGATAAAAGCACAATGCCAGTGGCCTTGTTGTATTAAGGCAGTCACCATAGATGAACTTTTAATGGGTAATGAACTGGAAGTTGTTAATTCTAGTTAAAAGCAATACTACGATGTTTTGGAGCAGAGTGGCTAACAGTAATCTGTGACAAAAGTGTTCTTTGAAAACATTTTAGCTGGTGTAATTGAAAGGGATGTGACTCATCCTTGTAGATTATTACTTGTCACTAAATTCCCACAGAAAAAAAAAAATTAAAATTACAGTGTGTAAAAAGAAATGGCTGTAGACTTTGAATGCCATTTAAATGTTACAAGTAAACCATGGCCAAAACTGTATCGAAGACAGACGGAATGTTCTTTAATGCATGTTGAAAATAGAGCATTTTAACTATTTGCCTAGATGTAATTCAGGACGATTAGTGTTTTAGCGTTGAGTAACTTCTTTAAGCATTCCAGCTTTGACCACAGCTAGAAACTTCAGCATGCCTGTGTTTGCTTCCAGAACATTTATAAATACATCTTGAAGTAAAAAGGATTCTAAAAATAGAAATGATACCCTTGGTAGCTTGAGAGTTTTTACAAGATGGGTAACTTGGGAAAATAAAACTTGTTTCACTTCTTAAAGCTTTGTATTATCATCTTTGCTACAGGTTTACATTGTAAGTTAGAGATACCTCAGTGGTGGAATAATTGCCAGGTAGTCTAGTATTTTTCACATAATTGAAAGCTTGTGTTTTGTTAAAACGCTTTGAATTTGTTTGTCTTTTCCCTCTTCTTTTTTACTTTTCTATGATAGTAGGGCTTGCTGTTAACATGCAAAGTTCATGCTTGGTTTGCTTTCTTGTCTTTTTTCAGTCTCCTTAGAAATGTAAAGCCTGATCTCTGGTTATGTTTTTAAATAATAGTATATTCCTGAAGATACCTTCTCTGTTACAAACCTTTTCCTCCTTTCCGTTCCTCTGTCTTCTTGGATAAATGCTTTGGCTGGGTTCTTCCCCATCCTATGGTAGTCATATAGTTCTTGCAGTAATGCATTTTTCTGTCTGAGAGTATGAAGAGACTGCTTCGGTTAGCTCAGTTTATTTTTTTCCCCCCTTTGAAAGCATGCTCTCTTCTGTTTTAATAATGTTTCTGCATTCCTTGAAGGTTTTGAATTTTCATTTCAAAATAGACTTTAATTTTCATAAGTTGTATTCCTCCATTTGTATATCACAGTCTTGAAATCTTTTGGTCAGACTTTGCAGAGATTCATGTTTTCAAAAAGAGATGTGCTTGTGTGGTGTATTTCATGTCCTTGCCTATTCGAAGAAGTAGGTGTGAATTTCTGTTCCCATTTTTTATAAAAGTTTTTCCTTGCCTCATTTCAAAGGCTTTATATCTCATCTTGGAGACACTCAGGTAGGTATCAAAAATTCCACGTGTTCACACCCAGTTCCTCCACTGTCTAAAGCTGTTATCAGATCACCTTTCAGATCTGTGAAGTTAGAGTAGACCATCTTCCTCTTGGCAATTCTGAGACCATCTTCTTAATTGAGTGCAGTCTGATTGTAAAGCTCCACAAAAATTTTCAACAGGTGCTTGGAATTTGGCCTTTATTTCTTTTTACTGGAGAATTTACTCACGTTGTGACAGATTGTACTGGTAAGATTCCTTCTGAGCCCTAAAATGAGAGTTATGCCACCAAAGAGGCATCTACAATTTTGTTGGTGTAGAGTTCTTATTTATCCCATATTCTGTAGTATTCTGATAAATATTCTGTAGGGAGAAGTAGGTGGCATTCCCTTTGTCTTGAGGTCCTCTGAATAAGGTGTCTCTTGGTGTATCCTTGATGTTGTGCCAGTGAAGGTGCTATGCCAAAGCATCAAGCACATCTAAGTTTTTAGAAATAAAGTGAACTAGTGCCACTCTGTATTTTTTCCTTACCCTCTTTTGATTATTGTGTTTACCAGGTGGTAGAGCGCTTTGTGCCTTGACTGCAGAAGGATTCTGGATGGTGTTACTAGGACTTCTGTTCTGATGAGTTCTTCTTACTCCCTTTATTTGGCCATGACATCTGCTCTTAAGATAACAGCTGTCTTTGCTTTGTGGCCGTGACAAATCTGTAGAGCGTGAAATTCTTCCTCTTTGCTAATGCTTTTGAGTATAATGCACCAAGCGAATGTTTTTGGAACAGAACATTAAAAATTTGTCTCCAGGCTTGTAGGTCTTTGCACTTTGATTACTCATGGGCAAGGAACTTGGACAGCACTAGGAGTAAGCATAGTTCATCCTAACGCATTCCTGTTTTTCCTTCGTCCTCTAAGTACCTTTCATTGTTTGCTTTCAGATTCCTTCCATCGCTTCTCTGCTCCTTTTGTTCTAAACTTCACCGACTTAATTTTCTTCATACTTGTAGAGCCTGGGGAGCAATGAAGTCAGTTAAGCCATCGGCTGCCCTGCAGTCTTTCACCTTTTCAAGGCCATCATCTTGGTAGCCTTTTTAAAATCGTATTTCCCTCCACCCTCCTCTCAGAGAAAGTAATTCCCTGTGCACTAAACTGCAAATGTTTCATTATCCTAAAATATTCTCAAACTTAGTTATTTGCTGTGGGGCACAGCTGTCAAAATGAACAACACAATGAATATACACAGTGAATTTGAAGATTTGTTGTGGTGTGGGGTAAAACAAGGTGGGATAAACCAGGATAAAATCTTGTGCTACTTCTTGGATACAGAAGGAAAAGGCAGAAAATAAAGATGAGTAGTATAAACTGAACATGGAGAGATTGCAGTCTGTTTCATGATTATGTATTAATCATGTGTTATGTATTCATGATTCTTTGGGAAGATAGAATTTTGGTGACTCAAACACTATGAACACTTTAAATATCTGTGTAAATTAGAATCAACATCTTGCAAAACAGTTTTTTAATTTACTCACTACTTGCTCATTTGAAAGTTAATGAAAGCTAACTGACAACTAACATCAAATTTACTTTTAATTTCTGTGTTCTTTCTCTTTTGTTTCCTTGTATTCATTACAAATTAGCATGTACAAAAAAGAACCAGTTCACTTAACATTTAAGATGGAACTTTGAGCTGCTTCCAGTAGATTTGTTTCCCAATTCAGCTTATATTGCATGTACTGTAATATTGTGACCATCTAATTTCATTGACATGTTCACATGTGGTCTAGACAACCATTTTCTTCATCACATCAGGTTGTTACACTGTTGTTATAAAAATAGATATGAAACTCTGAAAGCATGCAAGCATTTCTCTCTGAAATTTTACTGTTTGGCTGTTCTCTTTCTTCGCCCTGTACTTCGTGCTTGCAGCTAGAAAGAGGGGGTTATATTGAGCTGACTCTGAGACACCTGAAGGGTGCTACTTTATAATTTTGTGGTTTTAAAGTCATGGGGATGCTCTGATGAAACGAGGAGGCAAAAATGGGTGTTTTTAATTCTAGCGTGCAAAACTTCTTGTTTGAGAATCTTGAGTTTGCAAAAAGCTACAGAAGATGCTTATAAAAGAGGAGTTAATTTTTAATTAGTATATTAAATGTTGTTCTGTACTAAGTTAAGCTTGTTCTGTCGTGGTTAAACTTCCTGATCACGGTAATGACTGTCCTTATGCCAATGATCAAATAGGTATTTTACAAAGTGAATTGTTGCTGGTGCCAATTCTTAGTTTCTGTGTGCGGAAATGCAGTCATAGGCTTATAATCTCGAGGAAAGGTTCAGTTCTGTTTTACTGCTGTGTCACGCGTAAGAGTTTCAAAGGTAGACTGTGGTCTATGCAGTGGTTACTTAAATTGACTGACGGGTTAGGGACCAAATGAAGTGTGTATTTTGGGGAGGGAGGAGGAGATCTTCACTTGTGTTGTAAGGCCTTTGCATGCATATAAATGATCATCTTAAATTGTTGGGCCATTGTTTTCTGTATTAGCACATTGTTACGCTTATACGTCACACCCTGTAGAGGGTGTAAGGTATCCATTATAGTAATTTGAGATGCTCTGTTCAAATTGCTGTTGTTTTTGTTGTAGAAGATTAAGCTACTGGAATAAGAAAGTGCACTGCACCAAGATCAGTGTTGTCAGATCAGTTGTACAAAGGTTTTGATCTAGTCTGTTACGGATGTGGCCTTATAGTGTTTTGTTCTTATTTTTAGGATTCTCCTTTCACAAATGCAGGACTGGGGTCTAACCTAAACCTTCTGGGTGAGATAGAATGTGATGCCAGTATAATGGATGGAAAGTCATTAAATTTTGGAGCAGTTGGAGCACTGAGTGGTATGTTTACTATGTATTATAAAGCTACCTGATTTTAGTGCAAAGATCAGTTTTATTCTTTTTTTTTTTTGTTGATTATTCAGAGAGGGACACACATTGTAAATACTGCCCTGTTTAAATTAATTCTGCCCCCTTTAAAAAAGGGGGAGGCATTGTGGCTCCCTGAAACACTGTTTTGTGTTAATTTGCTTAGTGTAACGTACTGTCGTATTAGTTCACTGGTAATCCTTTGATGTAGAACAATCATATGATACTATACAGTATTCACAATGGGAGTGGGTTTGCAATTATTAAAAAAAATATTACAAGTATTTAAGTTAGGCTGTATGTTTGTTTTTGTTCTCTGTCTCCTTGAAGAACTTACTGGTATATAATTCAGTCACAAGGTCAATTGATATTTTGGTCTCTTAGTTAAGTTGGTCAAATTAGGATCCAAAGGGACCAAAGTTTCCTTTGTAGTAGCCAGAAGGCTATGCAGGGTGCTAGCCTCCAAACTGAAGCCTCTCACGTATTCTTGAGAATGGGCGCAGCTGATCATCTGTCACGCTGTTTGCTTGGGACATAAAATTTTTGTATACTGTAGAATTTTTCATTATAATTTCTCTCACATAATCAGTTACATTTGGATTTATTTTGTGTGTTACTGTTATAAGGAGATTTATTTAATCTGAGAACTACTGTGATTCCTTTTTCTTTGTCTAGTTTTAGCTTTCAGTACAAAACAAATGTAGGTATACAGTCCCACATAGGGATCGTTGAGGTTTTGTCATAAGTACATTGAATAGCCTTAACTGTTACTATTGAATAGCTTTTCTGACAACGTTTCAAGCTTTGTTCTTTATCCTAGAATAGTTCTAAACCATGGTAATAGCTTCCTCATGTAGATTTAAATCTAAAATAAATAGTAAAATTAAGTGTTTCAAGGCTTGTTTGTTACAAAACGTATCCTTCCAACCATGGGGAATGAGGAAATGAGGGAGTGAGAGAAAGCTGAGCCTGAATCGTATAATCCCTGTTCTGGCCAGATAGATCTAAATGAAAGGTCTTTCCATCTTGCGAAATTAATGCTCATAAAACTTCTTTGGCTTGTAGAATGCCATAGATTTAATTTGAGATTTCTGTGGTAGGAGGTCACTCCTAATTTTTCAATATGATTCTTTCTTTTTCAAAAAAAAAAAGGGGTGGTGGGGGGTGGTGTGTTGATTAGAAGGCTTTGTCAGTGCTGATAGGATGTATGAAGGAAAAACTGATATTGTTATTTAATTGAAACGTAACATAAGGTGTCTCTTAATGATTTGGCAAAGCCTTGGAAATTAAAGGAAGATGACTTCCATTGCCAAAATGAACACTACAATGCTCTGTGGAAAAATATTTTAACATTTTGTTCCCATTTTTTGCTAATTTTTCTTTTCAGGAATCAAGAATCCAGTTTCAGTTGCAAATAGATTGTTGTGTGAAGGGCAGAAGGGAAAGCTCTCTGCTGGCAGAATTCCACCTTGGTAATTGCTTTGTTCTGCTTGACTTTACTTTGGTCTTTCATCTCTACTGCATGCAATATTTGAAGGTTCTATCTTATCCCAAGAAGGCAGGTGCTGTTTTACGTACCAGTGATAGTGTGCCTTTAAAAAGAAGATATGCTTTGTTCTCTGATCTTGAAACATCTTGTGCACTTGATGAAGCTGTGGGTAGAATGAAGTATTGTGAATAGATGGCAACATCATTTTGTGATAATTTCTGTCTGTGTGATTACTTCCAGTTACATCATACTGAACTCTTACATTTGTTACTGTAGCATTTTGAAAAATCCCCAATACATCAAGATTAAAATGGAATTCTACTGCCTTTGCCTCTGTCTACCTTTAAAAAAAGCAACATAGTTTTTAACAAATACATAAAAGAATCCTACTTTACTGTCTGTCTTTGTGGCTTTATTTTGTAGTTGTAGTGTGGAAATGTGCAGTGTTTAGTAACTTCCTCTTATTTTAGGCAAAATGGGAAGTTATTTTAAAGATAGATTTTATAGTATTCACAACAGTGAAAACATGCACTCCTTTCTTGAGATGGGTATAATACTTAGATGGAAGAGGTAACTATCAAATGCACAAAAACTTCAAATATTATTGCAGCATTTTGGAAAGAATCCAAGAAATGTGTCAGAATTGTTTGCTCTTAAAACCATCTTATTTTCATTAGCAGCTTGAATTGTCAAAGTAGAGAACTTGAATGATTCATTCATATTGACTGCTATCCTCAGTTATCATACCTGTTGCAGAAATTTGGTACCATTTGCTAACTAATGAACTACAGGATTTGCAGATGTATTAAACCAGCATTTATGTAATTTAAAATATGTATATTTAGATTCACAAATTTTACTTTCCTTACTGTGTTATTCTCCAAAATTAGACAAATAGTCTGTAGCTGAATGGTATAGTATTCCAATCTAAACAAAGTACAACTTCAGTGTTCTGTCGTGCTGCGAAGGAACTTTATAGATGAAAAAAAAGCCACCCTGAAGCCAAACCATCAAGAAGCAGATTTTGCATTTAAAACTCTCTTCTTTAATGAGGAAAGAAAAGAGTAACTGTAGTTAGTGGGATAACTTCTTTTTTTTCAGAGAAGTTTACTAAGGAATAGTAATAATAGTAATAGTAGGAACTTGAATTTCAGTTGCTGTTAGTAGCTCTTTTCTTCAGATATCAGGAGAAAGCTGAGTTACATTAAAGAGAGTGTCAAATGAGGTGGGTTTTTTTGGTGTTCCAGAACTAGTACTGAAGCACAGGAGCAAGCGCTTGTGATTTAGTTTTGTCTGTAGCATTACAGTGTTTTCTCAAATTGTTGTAAGGAAGAGCACTTGGGTATTTTAGCGTATTTGCTGTAACTTCATGACCTAGTTTATGCTGCTATTATTTTAAAAGTAACTGAATGGAGAAGAAACTATATCCTCTTGCCCTCAAAGGACAAGACTAAATCTTTCAAATGCTGGCTAACAGATGCTTTTAAAGACAAGGGAGCTCAAACTCGAGGCGAGAGGTGACCTGTCTTCAGAGCCAACACGTGCAGTTTATTGTGCAAATGTTACCTAATACGTATTTTCATTTCCTTTTTCCCATTCTGGATTTTGAATGTATATTCTGTTAGAGAACATTAGTTACCCTGGGAACAATCTATACTGATGATCTGATGGGTTGTGGTTTAGACTTGCTTTGCTAGACGGTCCTGTACATACAGGGTATCCCAAGTTCAGAATGATAGAGTTCATGTTCATTGTAGGTGATGACTATTGATAATTCCATGCCTTGCCTTTCTGGCAGGGTTTGGCATGACACATTGTTGGTTTGGGACTGAAACGCGTTCCTGAACAAGCTGGGAATACATATAGTCAAATGACAAGAGAGCAGCTGTATTTTGGCATTCCTACCAAGTGTCAGGATTTTAGTAACTGATTTTTATTTGTAAGTTGTGCAAGTTTCATCTTGTTTCTCATGGGGAAAATAGTGTATTGGGGAGTCTTCTCAGTACTTCTTAGCCTAAAAACCTGTCTTGTTAAAGAAACCTAGTGGTAGAGACTGTTTCTATAGAGCAATCTAAGCTAGCTTAATGTTTTCTGGCCCGAACGTTTGGCACATGACTACGCACAGGAACTGTGAGATTAGTGAAAGTGGCATTGTGGAGATTCTTGTCTATAAAAGAACACATGGAGGCAGTTAGTTTGGCCTGTTTACCCCTGTTCAGCACCTGTTTTTACAGTGACAGTTCAAAACCAGTTCAAAGGGGTACGTTTCTAATTTTCAGTAGAAGAAATTCTGGTGAGTGTGAATTAATTTATTCTGAGATGGTAAGCTTATTGGGAAGGAGTGATCAAGTGTCCTAACTAATGTATCCAATTTGCTGTGAATTGCTCTATAGAGTGTGCAATTCTGGATCAATATCTCATTGTCTTGTTTAAAACAAAGAATCCTGCTAACCAAATTAGAATTTAAAAAGTTTAAGTAAAGAATCCCTGAATGCATGAGTGCATTTGTTGAAACTTCTAAGGTCCTTACATCTTTCTGTCATATTTTGTTCAGCTCGACGTTATCAGGATTTTCTCTGCCTATGTAGGCAGGAACAGAAAATACTGAACTTGTAAATGTTACCTATTAACATATAAGATATTCCTGTTCCTTGTATAACTTTACAAAAGCAAGCACTATTATAATTGTACAATTACGTATTGGTTGGATCTTTGGAAGTGGTCTTTGGTCACAGAATAATGGATTAGATGTTTTGTAGTAATAGTTCGAAGATTTTCTATTTCTTACACTGAAACTTTGACCTTCCTAAGGGAAAAGGCTTATTTACATCTGTTCACTATTAAGTGTAAGAATTGCAGAATGGTACAAATACACCTAAATGTCTCCTTTCTTAGAACTCCTTAGTATTACTCATATCTAAGTTCATGTCTATCCCTTTTTCAGTATTAATTTTTTAAATGCTACACAGTTTTACAGTACTGTAGGCAGGATATGTACATCATGTAACTTGTGGGGCAATGCATAGCCAAGAAAGTGCCTAGAGTGAAGACTTGTACCACCTTTTATCTCTGTTCTATTTTTCTGTAGAACAGTTTCTTCTCTGTAACAGTGATTTCAGAGTGATTGCTGCATTTTATAATAAATGTTACAAAGTAAGTCTGTTATATTCGGGATCACCTTGACCATCTTTAATGAACCTAGCTTTCTTCTCCCACTTCTGTTTAGCTTGTGTGGCGTGTCTCCCTACAGCCCATATTAAATGGTCCTGTTTGGAGGAAATAGCACGAGGATAACTGTGTTCTTGGAGAAGATTGCCTAAAAAGACCATTTTTAGAGAGCTTTACTTGCATTTTCCATTAATATGGTCTAGTTTGTCTGGAACTGGAAAAGCGTGTCCAAGCATCGGCTCCTTGCTGGGAGGATGTTTTTGGCTTTTGTGTGTTCTGAGCCTGTCACAACTACAGAGTGCTCTTCGTTAATATATTTGCAAAAAAGATATTTTTATCTTGTTTGTGCAGAACCAATGTTCAGAGTAGCAAAGCACAAACTCATTCATCCTTTAATTTTTTTTTTTATTTTTTTTCCCCCCCCATTACAAAATTGTATTTTGAATTAGCCTAAAGGCTTTTGAGTCTCGGTGGGGTTTTGGCTGCTTTCTATAGCCCACTGGCTTTATTCCTTATTTTCCCTGTCCCCCAATAAATCAAGCTCTGTGGTAGCTGTTTAGAGGTAGTTTTGGTTTTATGTCAGCTTAAAGTATTGCCCTGTTCATTCTTGCCTGCTGCAGCTTTTTTACATGGCTACATGGATGATTCTTGTGGCAACTAAAGCCGTTAGCAGACTGCTGGTTCCCACCCTCTCACCAGCCTGTCATCTGTGGCTGGTACAGTTGTGTGTGTGTTTTTTGCTGAACCGGATCACAAAACTTTGCTTTTTGGGATGGTGTAAAGACTGTTTAGTCTTGCTTAAATTAGACTACCTGCAGAGCTGAGTTCATGCTATATGTCCTGAGTCTTGCATCAGCTAATTCTGGTTCACTTTATAGGAGATACAAGGAGATACAGTATAGGTAGTACAGACAACAAAGCACTGAGATGCTTTTTTTTTTCTTTTGTAAACTGTTTATTTTAACTTTTCTGTGATTATGCTGTCCTTTTGACATATGAACTGAAAAGTTTAAAAAAGGTGGATGACCTCTGTGGTGTTATGGGGCCTCAATTAGATGTCAGCAGGAGATGGCTGCTTCGACTAATCTAACCATTCTTTGGGACCAGAACTAGAAAATACTCTATGCCCACTTATAGGAGGGATTAAGAATGCAAGTGTGAGCAGAGTAAAAGTCATGTTACTTCAGTTTTGAGACATTCTTGGGTGCTTTTTTTGCACTCTTCATAAATAATAGTGATGGTTGCTGTGGTTTTAAGTATAAAAAAAGCAATTGTGAGATTGCTTGTAAAATGCAGTGTTTCTGACTGATCTGTACTATGCAAGTTATTGTATATAAAACTCTTATTATTTGAGCTTGATACTTTCTCTGCCCACCCTTCCTTTCTGTGTAAATTGTTTTATTGAACAGGAAGTGCTTATTCACTTCCTGAGAATGTACTGTTGATAGAAAACTTTTCTTTTAAAGACCCAAACCACCTTCTTTTAGTCAATGGAGAATACTACTTAGTTAGGTTTGGCTACAGTTTGCATTTCTCTCTTACATTAATGAAAGTGACAGCTTGTTTCCTGAGCACTGGCTTACCTAATAGGAGATTCTTGAGTTCTCCCAAAGTACCCAGTAACTTATTCTGCTGTACCTTGCAACATGAACAATATTTATCTGGAGCTGCACTAATGATGGTAAGAAATATGTATTTAACAATTCAAATTCTTATCTAGAAAACTTTTTTTTTTTAGACTTTTGTAAAGAAAGACTGGACACACCTCTTATTGCTTAAGTCATAGAGAAGATAGAAAGTACCATCTCAAAATACTACATACTGAAAACTGCAGGTGTCAGATATAACACTGTCAAGAAAACTTCCAACAGCATTATTGCCAACAAATTTGCTGTATAAGTAACATTCTCATAAATTGTAGTACTATGTGGCCCCAGGGACCTCTTTGTATCTGAAATAACTTCTTTAGCCTCATAGTCATAATTCTGGTATTTCTGTAAAACTTTTTGAAATTGCTGTAAATAGTCTGTCTTTACTTCTTGTGTCCATTAGGCAGTTGTTCTGTTCTTATTTCAAAAGGGAGATAGATAGAAAGTTACGATTGGAAATCTTTGCCCTTTACGGTGTTGCTGTTCTTGGTTCTGTTGTGCAGCAGCTTTCTGAAAATGTGTGATTTCTAACTGCTACATTCCCCTTTGCAGGGAATCAGTTTACTATGTTTAAGGGGAAACAGTATATATAACTGAGGCCTTCCCTCCCCCCCCCAAGTTACATGTCTATATATAATTTTTTTGCTAGTGTTCATTTTCATGGTAGTGGGCACTGCCTCTACACTGTAAAAGTTCAGTATTGACTAGAACACAACTTCTCAATTTGTTGGGTTTTTTTGCAAATGTATTAAAAATTCAGTAGACTTGACTCATTTGCAAATGCTTGATAAAACTCCATGAGACAGACCTTTATCCTTCTAAATAAGGCTTATTTTTAGCTTGTGTTGTACTTCTCAAAGGACTTCCTGATATTCCTGTGGCATTGGCTGACTTTACTGGAAATACCTTACCATTCTCGCCTCATTCACATCCCATGTCTTCAGGATCTTACTAAGTTGTTACAGAGAGCAAGACTTGTAGACGGCTTTGTCCTGGTTTAGCGGCAATGAAAAGCTGGTGCTATTTGGTAATTAATTTCCAATTTAATAGCACGTGTTTTTATCCAATACTAAACTTAATGTCAGAGCTGCATAGTCTTTTAATGAAACTACCTAAGGTTGCCAAATGTAATTATAGCTGACATTTCTGTGAAATGTAGACAGCTTACAATTTTAAAATGACCAAAACAAATAGAAAAAAATAATTGCAAGAAAAGGGGGATTTGTTATCTGGTTTTGTTTAAACTCCCTCTTCTGTGTCTCCTAGCTTTTTAGTTGGTGAAGGAGCTTACAGATGGGCAGTTGATCACGGGATACCAGCATGTCCTCCAGGTATCATGGCTACAAGTGAGTAAACTGGTGGTGTCAGTAGGAAGAACAGGACAGAGTAATTTTAAATGGTGCCTCAGATTTTGAGGTGTACATCACTTCACTGTTCTTAACATTCAACTAGCTTATGGTATGATAGTATATAAGGATGGTTTAAGTTTACTAATTTTCTATTAAGTATCTAAATACAAAATACTACGAAATATTACTTCAGCTGCATTTTTGCAACATCTAATTCAAGTGAATTTTGATTCTAGGACTAAATTAAATAAAGGACTTCTTTTACTGAAACATAGGCTATTGAACAGCTCAGTCCTGCAAGTCTGCAGTTGTG